GAAGCTGTGCACTTATCCTATTGTGATCTCCGGCTCCACTGTCTCACGTTCAACAGCCATGTGAATTACTTGAAAAGTAAAAAGTTTGGTTTCTTAGCTTCTCTTTTTTTTTTTTTTTTTCCTCTCTCATGTGTTGGTATTTTTAAAGGATCAAGGCACTGTTTTTCCTGCCAGCCCTTGCTTGTGTTTAGGGAGGGGTTTGGCAGGCACCACAGGGATTTTCCAACACTTGGACTCTTTTCAAAGGCTTATTTTCCATCAGTGTTGTTTATCCATTTCCTTCATTTTTTGCTCAGAGCACAATTAAAGATTCCTGATATAGTTCCTAAAGCAGAGATTTTTAGCTGTTGGTTTGCTATCAGTCAGAGACTTGGAGACATGACCAGCGACCGCTGAGGCTACACTTTTCAGTGTAAAGCAGGATTACACCAAATGTCTGCTCTTCTGGTTCCCTGTTAAGATAATCAATAGCATAGAGGATCACCCCCAGTTACGATGAGCAGCTTGGGGGGGGGTTGGTGCAGCAGACAGAAGTCCCAGTTCACAATAAGGCCAATGGGTTGGAATTGCTGCTTTTGAGGAAGTGCACAAGTTGATCTTCCCAGGGCTTTCAGCAAAATTAAAGAAAATAATATTAATGACACAATTATACAGTAATTTCAAAGAACTCCTTTATATTTGAGCTAACTGTACATTGGAAACCCTCAGCAGTCTCTTTCTTCCCTGTCATCTCAACCAGTTTACATGAAATCCCTGGTATACACATCTAAAAGGTCTCATCCACTAGGATGCACTTCAGTACAAATAAAAAGGATGCCCTGTTGTTTTCAAGTATCTGTTTTTACCTTAAATCATGCTGCTTTTATTTATTTATTCTGCAGATTCCCGAAACAAAACAACCTCCCGTCCCCAAGATTGAATCCCCAGAGGGATATTATGAAGAGGCTGAGCCATATGATGTCTCTGTAAATGGTATATCACAGCTGACTTTCTGGGGGGTTTCATGTGGGAGATGGAGGACTTGAGGTTTATGGGAACGACTAAACGAAAGCGCAGACATTTCTTACAGCTTGTATGATAAATTTGTTTTCTGATGCTAGATTACAAATCTAATGCTAGCTGGAAAGAAAAGGCTACTGAATTACTCAAATTTTTAACTTTCCTGTAGAAATAAGTAGTACGCCTGGGTTAATATAACATCACTGTAAAATATTATAAACCATCCAAGGATCTCTTTGTCTTGATGGCTTTCTGGAAGATAGGCTGTAGTCAAACCCAGGTTTCTATTAAGGAGTGAGTGGTGAAGCTGCGGTGGCTTGCATTCATGTCCTTGTGCTCTAATTGTCCCTTTGGGGCTCAAAATCCATGACTGTTGGTCTGTTAGATGTGATAACCATTTTTATAATTGGCTATTTATTCAGCTATGTCTCTTGTGGCAGTTTAGTCATCTGTAAACTTGATTAAAAAGCCACACTTCATGTGAGGGGACAGTGTGTGGGTTCCCTCTGTGCACACTCACTCGCTGCCTGGGTCAGCACCTCCCAGCAGCGTCCTCAGCAGTGCCACTGATACCTGTCACCCATGGGCTCCACACCCCTTCGGGAGGAGACTGCTGCATGCAGGCTGAGCTCCCAGATTCTTACTTTTTAAGATGTATTCCTGCATCCTTCTTTCGGTGAACACCCTTCATGAGAGATTACCTTCCTCTGATCTGACAGCAGAGCTGATCTTGTCATTGCTTTATAATCCATTTTAGCCCAAGTGAGAGAGATTATATCGGTCTGCTGCAGAAGCAGATCTCTGCTCGTCAGACTCGACTGCAGCAAAGTGGGGTGCAATGACGTACGTGGTGTGGGGCAGAGCTGAGCGGGGAGAGTCGAAGCAAGCAGAGAAGTGAGAATTAAGGGTAAAAGACTTGGATCTAAACCCTTGGCTGTTGAATCTGAGCTGTTCTTGAGAGAAGCTGAGTCCTCTCCAGCCCCAGTGAGCACCACTGGGCTTTGAAGCTCCCTGGCAGGGAAGCACCTGTGGTGCCACTGCTTGAAGTGGCTGGGGGTTGGTGTATCTGAACAGCCCTTACTGCGTGTCTGCACCTTACACACCCGGACAGCTCATAGCTCAGTGTGGGTTGCTGTTCTCACAAAGGCTTAGGAGTTACAGTGCTAAATAAACTAAAAAAGGGAGATGTAGGAAGATTTCTGTTTCTCTGAACCATCCCGTTTTGACTGCAACTTCACTACAGTGGTGAATGGGAAGATCGCGCCCAGCTTGGGTGGGAAAAGGTGCAGGCTCATCATGGCTGGGCTGAAATGTGCTATTTGGTGCAGAGAGGTCCCCCCAGCTCTGCTATGTGTAGTTAGGTGCCAGTTTGGTTGTGCCAAAATGCTCTGCGTTGTTTGGCTGAGGGCAGGGCTGTGACAAGTGGGGTGCAGGGGAGTGAAGCCCTCCTGCAGCCGCTGCAGCCTTGTCCCCCCAGGGGGTTTCCAGTTGCCTGCACTGTAAGATAAATGGACTTTTTTTTTTCCCTGCTGCACATTGGGAAAGAGGATAACACGTTAAAAGCCATGGCATGTAAAGACATACACCGGATTAGCTGGAGCTTGGCCATGGATCCATGTGCTGGGAAATCCAGGCAGCTCCATAAACTTGTGTTGCATTCAGAGCCTTGGCTGGCAGGAGTTGTAAGCACACACCCAGCTTAAACCTCTGCTTTTCCTTGGTAACCTGCTGCTCAAAGATGCAAATGCACCCACCATCCACTGAAATCCAGGCCGGTCAGATGCCTAAGGAAGCAAGAGATCAGAGCCCTGCAAGCATGGTCGAAAAAAGAGACAAAAACCCCATATGATGGGAGCACTGTCAAAATGGAGCAGTCTGTGGCTGCTATGAATAGCTGTTTGACCAGCGGGCTCGGTGCTTTACACTGTCACAGCCATTAAGTGGAGATAGGAGCCCATGAAGTGAGCAGAGATGGGACGTGCAAGCCCAAGCAGTCCCTCGCTGCCAAGGTGTGTGGTGCCTTTGCCTCCTGTGACTGCTCAACTGCCGGTCCCCTCTGCAGGCCCCAGCAGGTCCCTTCTTCTACACAAACCACCTGGTGTGCTATAATGCCAATGGCTTTTAAGGTGGTTTGCGTGAGAAGGAAGGCAGCATCATGTCACTGAGAATCTGTGCTTTTTGGCAACTTCATGTTTGAGGTGGTGCTTTAGGGTGAGCAGGGAGGAGGAGCAGGGAGAGATGCGGAGCAGCAGGTATGTGGCATGAGGAGGCTGTGGGGGGGGCTAAGGAGAGGGTGAAGCATGGCACGCCATGCACAGGGTAGATCAGGCAGCGGTGCTGGGAAGCTGCTGGTGCCCTGGTTTGCCTCAAGAGATCAAGCTGTCAATCTCATGGCACATGGGGCAAACCTGCAGGTCTTGGTCCTGCCCAGTGGTTCAATGAGTACAAAACTGGGCTCCCCATCACTTTTTTCCCCTCTCGCCTTATCAGATGGTAATAGTACCCTATACCTGTCCTATGTGGAGTGATACTCATTGCTAGCAACTGCCTTGAGACCTTGCTGTGACTGCTGTTGCTGAAGAGCAGTCTGGACATGTGTGGGTTTGCCTTGGTCAAAGATGCTAAAGCCTGACCCCAGTAACCCTCCAAGCCCATTGTGCTCACACCCCTCTCCCCACAAGCTGGGTAGGGAAGGTGCAGGCGGTCCAGGGAGCTGCTGGTGGTGTTTCTGACAGAATTACAGCATGAGCCTGGGAAGACACCCGTGCGTCTCCAAACAAATGAGCGTAGTGAAATCAAACAAAAACAGGAACATCACTAAAATTAGTGGGTGCACTGCCAAGAAAGGACATCAAAGCAAGCCTCCAGATGGGCTGAGGAGATAGAGGATTCGTGCAGCATCAGAGGTGGGACTGTGAGGCACTGTAACAAACCGTGGGTGAATTAATTAAAATGAAGCAGGCGGGAGAGACCACTGGGTTTCGGGGTCCCTCTTTCATCAGCACGATTCCCACCTCTCAGCTGGGGACACCTCTGCCTTTCATTTTACAGCTCTGGCAAATGCTGCTGCTTCCCTTTCCTCCTGGGCTGAAATGTGTTAAACTGTTATCGTCCTCGTCCTAGGCTGTGTTTGCATAATTGAAGGGTGCGATAAGAAACAGAGTGAAAACACAAGGGGCAATGTGACTGCCAACTGAGCAATAATTATTTCAGCTGAAACAGCTCATCTGCCCTGGCTGATTTTAATTACAACGATGACGATTCTGCTTTAAAGGGAATTGCCTTGTTTAAGGGGATGGGTTGAAAACGTTGTCCCTGTTTGAAGTCTCACTGTATGGTGTGCTCCTCCACTGGCAGCGGGGATGGGGCAGCCTCACCAGACAAGGGGGGAGCGTGGGGCTGAGCCAGACTGACGCCCTTGTTCTTCGCATTTGCTTATCTGTGGCTTTCTCTCTTTGTCTCCCTTTCTCTTTCCTTTTGACTGTGCAGGTCTTTTTGGTAGGCTTGCTGCGGCTGAACCCAGGCCAGGGTTGCAGGTTACTGAGGGAGTTATTTATGCCACAATAACGATGGGTATGGCATGCTTTTCAAACCTGAAGTGCTTTTTTTAAAAAAAAAAAAAAACACCACCAACAACTAAAAAGCAAAACCTCAGTTTTAGTGAAGATGATCAGGTGCCTCCCCCTGGTATTGCCCATTACATGCATGGAGGGTAACCAACTCTCCTCTCTCTCTGCCCATGCTGGATATACACAAGGCAGCATTTTTGTATGCCTTTCCCCATGCTCAAGACAACAATGAAGAGAATTTCCCCAGCCTTTATTTCCCTGGTTCTGGCCACTGATGTGGAGCTGATATGTGGTAACACTGGCTGTACTGGCAAGTAGCTGTTCAGCGAATGTTGAAGGTGCTCTGCTCGGGCAGAGGCAGCTCTGGTGTATGAGATGGTTGGAGCTTCCTGCGTCATGGTATTGACTTAGCTCCCTGGGAGGTCGTGGGAAGACAAACAGGAAAGCAGAGGTGGATTAAGTAAAGACATCCAAGAACATGGCTGCCACCAATGTCATGGCAATGAGAGGATAAAACTGTGGTTTTAGTTGAAACTGCCAGTAGGTGGAAATGGAGGCCTTGTACTGAAGTGCCTGAGCTGTATGACTTGGGATTGAGTGAGCCTTAGTAGCGACGACAGTGTTGTCTCAAGTCACCCAAGCAAGGTTTGTCCCAGTTTGCCAACTACACAACTGGAAAATGCTTTTCCATCATGAGACTGTAGCAGCGTCACCAGGCCAGCAACGGCCGCAGCTTTTCAAGTAGAGAAGAGCTCCTCTCATGAGGCACTTGTGGTTGATGCACAAAAGAGCAGCCAGGGCTCCCGCTGAGAGCATGGAAGAAAAGTGTTACTGCCCCAGGAGAAAGGTGGCAGCCTGAGACCTAATGCCTGGGTGAGGGGCACCAGAGACACCCAAAAGGGGCCAGAGGGGCACTTAGCGATAGCCCCATGTTGATAAGGAGGGAGATTTAGAAGATGAGGTTCTCTTAAGCATCCTTGCTGCTGCTGCTGCATAAGGAAGGGTCCCTAGCAGTGCAGAAGTTCAGCTTCTTGGTATTTCTAGGGATGAGAAACCTCAACGCTTTTACTCCATCTGAATTTCTGCCCAGGGTGCCTGGGAACAAGGTCTGCATAGTGATAATGCATTGGGCGGTAATGTTTTCCCCTGAAAGATGGACAGTCCCGTACGTTGAGGGCATGGAGATGGTGAGCCAGTAGTGTGCTGTGAGCACCATTCAGAGACTTTGAAAGGGAGTATTTGCTTTTTAATAAGTTTGTTTAATTGCTGCAGCTTTGATCACTTGAGGGATGTTGCAGAGTGAGATTTCACTGGGGAGAAGGCTGTAGCTTTGTTATTGCATCTCAGTTCCTTTTATTTTAAGAACAAACAAGCCCAACTTAAGAAATGTTCTTCAGTGAAGCTCCTAATGCTTTTTTTTCTTTTCTGGCTGCTTTTCCTCTTTTTATTTGCACCAATCTGATAATGTTACTTTTATGTGGATATTAAGATTTGATGAGGATCAAAATCAGATTAAATTCTGGTGAGAGAAACTTAATGATATTCCTCCGTGCTGTTTGGTAGGACAAGAATGCAAAACCCTACACAGATGCTGCCCAAATCTTACCATCTTGCTATGTGAGCTTACCTTGTGAATAAGAATCATACTGTAAATGCCAGCAGAGCATTGTAAATTCCCCTGCAGTCAGTGGGAACATTTTCATTGTTTCTGATGAGTCTGGTACCAATGACCAGCTGTGCCGATCAGCTGAAAACTCCAATAACCTACAATACATAGAGCTGGGTATTGAAAATCCCAATTCATTCTAATAACATAGCAATCCATTTAAGAATGAGCATGAAAAATGTGTTTACTATTATTTACAGCTGCCACTTATGACTAATTTTTGCTGCTGCAACAGTGTATTACTTCAAAGCCCCTTGCTGTCCCTTAGATGCTGAGTAGAGAGAGAGACCTGTTAGCCCAGAAAGGGAAAGTGGAATGATGTCTCAAATACAATAGATCATCGCTTGCTGCATGGCCTCGCAAATACCATTTTTACTTCTGACATTCAGAGGGCAAGGGCTGATTGCGGCTTGCTGTTGCCATAAAAATTGTGAGTGTTTGGCTTGAAGTGGAAAGTACAAAAAGCATCTTCAGGAGGGAAAAAAAGCAGCAAACATCAGAAAATGTCTAAGGGAATGTTCTCGAATTTGTGGTCAACTGAGAAGTGTCTTTTGAGTGCTTGCTAACTGAGACTATTAGGCACAAAACATTGCAAGGAGATTAATGTTTGGCTAGAAAGAAAAAAGGATCCATGAGGGTTATTTTGCTATTGATTATCCTTCTGTAGGAGAGCCTCAAAAGACACGTCCCTACGCTGGAAGCTTTTGCATGTGTGAGCATGGCTGAGGCAAGCAATAGGCTCAGAGTTGTCCTAGAAGTGTATTTAATGATAGAGCTTTGCTTTTGTTATAGAAGATGGTGAAGCCGTTAGTAGCTCCTATGAATCTTATGATGAAGAAGAGAGCAGCAAAGGCAAGTCAGCAACCCATCAGTGGCCGTCCACGGAGGCCACCATTGAGCTGATGAAGGACACCCGCATCTGTGCGTTCCTGTGGAGAAAGAAGTGGCTGGGACAGTGGGCAAAACAGCTGTGTGTTATCAAGGACACCAGGTTGCTGGTGGGTAGATCCTTCACTCTCTGCCTAAAACAACCTATTTTCATGAGCTGGGGAGGGAAGTGGCCCCTCAGGCCATGTTAACTAGCTGGCAAAAATGAAGTACCTCTAGAAGCAATGCTTCAAAAACCATGTCCCAGAGATTTGGAGATCTCATTCAATTTTCAGAAGGGACGTGGGCATGGAGCTGCTGAGGAGGGCATAAGGGCACATTTGTGGCCAAAATCTCAAACTCCCAGAATGCCTAGAGATGCTTTTTGGGGAAACTTTTTGAGGTGGTTAAGCAGAAGAGAGGCTTATCCCACTGGCTAACCACATACATGACCCTCTAGCATTATCTGTGAGAGGTATTTCAGACTATATATGTATCTACATAGATGTATGTGTATCTCTATACATACAGAGATGTCCTGTGTGTAGTCTGTGTAGACATCGCAGCCTTATAGGACCTATAGGACCTTCTTGTCTTCAGTGCACTTAATGTGTGTGGTTGCACTGAGCCACTTCTAGGGTTGAGTTCACGCCAGCAAGCAAGAGAGAAGGCTCCTCCTCAGCCTCTTACCTGCCCTCTCATCTTCCTTCCCCAGTGCTACAAGAGCTCCAAAGACCACAGCCCTCAACTTGACGTGAATTTGCTGGGCTGCACTGTCATTCACAAGGAAAAGCAAGTGAAGAAGAAAGAGCACAAGCTGAAGATCATCCCCATGAATGCAGATGTCATCGTGCTGGGGCTGCAGAGTAAAGACCAGGCAGAACAGTGGCTCAGGGTCAGTGGAGCCTTCAGGGCTTGCCCTGCTGGTGCTCCCGTGCTTCTACCCTGGCTTTGCTGGGAGACCGTGTCTTATCTCAGTCCTGCCCTTGTGTGCTCTGGCTCCCTTCCTCACTGCAAGCCCATATACAAATATACTACTTCATTTTCATGTCCTGGGATAGCTTCTTTGTGCAGCTCCCTGCCACCTTCTGCGCACGGGAGGCCGCAGAGGGACCTCCCAGTCCAGCTGTTGCGGCAGGAAGGCTGTCTCATGTGGGGCACCCATCCCAATTGGCTGAGGACAGGGGGAGATGTGGCCCTTTCCTTGAGACGGCAGCAGAAGAAGGAGCCTTCGCGGGGCTGCGAGGCGCCGGGGCTGCCTTTGCTGGCAGCCTCTCCCCGGCTGACTTGGATCCAGCAGTTTCTGCTGGCTGCCTGCTGCAACACCAGGAAAGTCCCCAGGGTCACAGGGAGTGTAAACTGTGGGTCTCCCAGGCTGCTGTGGTTTTGCCTGTCCTGGGTGGGGGAGAAGTATTGATCCCGTTACTGCAGCTCTCTCACAGGCTATGGCTTCCCCTTCTGCACAGGTAATCCAAGAGACCAGCGGTCTGCTGTGTGAAGGAGGCAGTGAAGGCAACCAGTACATCCCAGATTCACAGCGTCTCAGTTACCCAAAGGTACACCTTGTCTCTACAGAGAGAACTAGCACTTAGGCTTTTACACCCTGTTCCTTTAATAAATAATAGTTGTAGGTGCAATAATTTTATCTGGGCAAAGACTGATATGAATGTAACCAGACCCCTGTTCTGCTGAAAAGGAGCATTATTGGAACAATCTTAATTTTCCTTTGCAATCTTAATTTTGTTGCCACATCTTTCCCCCAAAACTGACTCAGCATTGGGCTCTCCTCCATACAGGGCAGCAGCCACTATCTCATCCAACAGGACAGTTGTGCTCACCAAGAGCTTTGGAAGGGACATAGACCCTTGGACGCCAAGGCTTGGGCCAGTCTCTAGTCCAGTTTTAGCTGACACTGCCCTGGGGGCAGCTTGTTCCAAAACAGTGGGAGGAGAAAGAAACCTTCATGTATCTCTGGTGGACACCCAAAATGGATCTGTTTGGGCACCTGGCCAGTTCCTCTGCCCATGCCCTCCTACGGGGACTGGCAGATGCCCCCACCAGCCGGGCTGCAGGGCAGGAGACCATGGGGTGGCACTAGTGGTGCCATCGTGTCACCTCGGAGGCGAGCCCAACCAGGGCAGTTCATGTGCTGGATCTGCCCATGCTGGGCTCAGAAATAATGGGGAGGGCACAGCGTGAGTGGGCGGGCGGGCAGGTGATGTCTGTGTGAAAGTATCTGCTACGGAGAGGGTGGGACCTCATAATTTAGGAGGGGGGAAAAAGGCACTTGCGGTGGGTTCTGGCTGGAGAAATGGGTCACGTGCATCTGTGGAGCTTGTGTCCGGTGCTTGTTGACAGGTGGAGGTATCTGAGAGGTACTCTGCAGCCTCCGAGAGCGGGAGCAGCACAGACGGCCACCCAGAGACAGCTGAGACAAAAGATGGTAAAATCTCACCCTGGGAACAACAGGGAAACCGGGCCATCAACCCTGCATGTGGCGAGGGTTTCTGTAGCTTCTTCTGCCACCGCCACCTCAAACTGACCTGATGCAGGGTGAAAGCTGCGTGTGAATTCACTGCCTGTGAATTTGATTTCAGTGCTTTTTTCCGTAACGAAGTGACAGGTGGACATTGGGATTTCTCAGCAGTTACAGAGTTAGGATAGGGCTTGAGAAACCTGGGTGTGATACCTGCCCTACCACAGAGATCCTGTGTGACCCTGGGCAAGTCACTCTGGGACAGTTTGAGATGGCACAAATGCAACCTAAGTGACTTTCCTCAGAGATGTCTGCAGAGAAACTTGGAGTACCTGTGTGAAATGCTGAGCTGTCTCCAGTAGGAGCTATACCTTCACACTAGGGCATCTGACTCTGGGCTTTAAGCTGCATTCCCCATCTATAAGATGGGGCAGGTAAGTACATTAAAAGAGGAGATGCTCTATTAGAAGGATGGTGGGACCCATCTATATATCGGAGAGAGAGAAAGAGAAATCCATGCTGAGGACTCACTGGAGTCACCCAACAGACGGAACTTGGCTGCTGAGTCCCTCTACACTAGGACTTCATCATTTTGTTATGATAGTGGGAAGGAAAATCTGGACTAAAAACATCCAACTTGATTTCTTACCAGGGTTACCTGATGATTACACAGCCATATTCACGCACTGACTCATGTGCTCGGTAGGAAAATGCTGAAGAGGCTCTTTGGGCATAACCTTTCCCCCCTCCCCACCTTGAGTCCCTCTTCTAGAAAGGAAAAGACTTGAATGCAGTAAATATTTATGGGTAACGGTTTCTAATTCAATTCTTTGTAGTGTAAGAAATTGAAGGGAGGTTGGCACCTGCACAGCAAGACCTGTGCAAACAGCCTTCCCACAGCTCATGCAGCGACTGGCGTTTGGTCAGAACTAACCCAAGTTTAAAGCAATATGGATTAAGTATCTTCAGCAAATCACTTAACTGAAATTACCGGTGCCATCTTGCTCATCATCTCCCTGGGCTTTGGACTATTACAGCCTGTCCCCGAGTCACAGGTTTGCCCTCTGCAAGGGATGTGTGTGCTGCAGCGCTGTTGGGTGCAGGATGGCAGTGCAGGCAGCTTTGGGGCAGGACAGCAAGCTGTGTGTATGGCTGTGAGTTGGGAAAGCCACGCATATATCTTTTTCTTTTTCTTTTCTGGTAGTTAAGAAGAAGGGCACAACTGGCCTGAAACTGAGCAACCTGATGAACCTTGGGAGGAAAAAATCCAGCTCCCTGGACAGCCCAGAGAGATCCCTGGAGACTTCAAGTAAGTGGCAGCATGAGCCCCTCTGCAGGGACTTGTCTCAGGGCTGGATCTCAGTGTGCAGGGCAGTATGAGCACCAGGCATCATCCTCCTCAAACACGTGTGTGCCAGGCTGTCCTGCTGAGGGAGGCAAAGAGGCCACAGTCTGCTTGGTCCATGCCAGTAAATCCATGCAGATTGTGGTGCCTCTTACACATTAAGGTGACTGCGTGGCTTACAAGTGCTGGCAGTAGCTCGCAGGGTGACCCAAGAGGAAGGGCAGGTAATACCAGACATATACACAGAGGGCATCTGTGCTGCTCTTCCTGGGCACCAGCCCAGGGTGTGGGAGTCAGCAGGGAGAGAGCTGTGTGGGTCAGCTGGTATTCACCATCTGGGACCAACTTTGTCCAACTATCTGCAGCCAACTTGCTGCTCCAAACCTAACCTAATTTCAAGTGTCTCATTTGGAACAGATTTTTTCCCCTTTTCACCCGGTTTTGTATGGATAGGACAGCTTGTCTTTGTGCTTTTGGTCTTTGTCGTTGCCTGTGGCTGTGTTGTGTGTGATCTCGGAACTTACCCTGATATCAAACATCCCCATGCACACACAAGAGTTTGGATTCCCTCTCCCCATGGGGTGGAAAATGTGCCTAAAAGTAACCTGTGCTTGCTTGCAGGTTACCTGAATATGCTCGTGAACAGCCAGTGGAAGTCCCGTTGGTGTCAGATAAAAGACGGTCACCTCCATTTCTACCAGGACAAGAACCGAAGCAAACTGGCTCAGCAGCCCCTGAGTTTGGCAGGTTGTGAAATTATCCCAGAGCCAAGCCCTGATCATCTCTACTCCTTCCGCATCCTGCACAACGGGGAAGAACGGGTCATTCTGGAGGTAGTGTATATCTCCAAGAAAGCTCTGCTTTAAGTCATCAGCTTGGGTGTCTTAGTAGGCCTAAATGCTGGTGAGGTCCTCCAGAGGGACCCTCAGTCCAGCAAAACAGAACTTGAAGCGTGGGACTTTGGTTCATCTGTCTGTGGTCACCTAGAAGGTGTCCCACCTAGCTGGTAACCCAGGCTGTGTCTGATGCTGGCGCCTCCAGAGGACCATTCAGCCTTCATCTTAGGCACTCATCTTAGGATGGGATGAAGGGTCCTCTGGAGGTGCCCATCTCTCTCCACTGACTGTAGGATAACTTTGGATGATTAAGTTATACGGGATGCGTTTCAGGTGGTTAATGTTAGATGAGAGGAATGCCACTTTAGGGATTTAAGTCTGTAGTTAGGAGGAACAGAGAACTTCATCTTCTGAAAACAGTCCCAAAGCCATGGGTCATGCATCCCAAATAAACAGATGACAGATCTGCCCCTGAAAGCGCAAGTGAATTCATCTCCATCTGTTACTTTCCTTTGCCTGCAACCAGGATTGTTTATCTCTAATCTTAGTTCTCTCTGACGACAGCATGATTATAATAGGAGGTGGACAATGTGAGCAATTTCCTGTATTTTTCCAGTGGCTGAAATATTTATAGCTAAACAACTGACTTGGAGGGCCTGCCATGAAGTTTGAAGGTGTTTTTGTTTAGCTTCTGGTTCAGGCTATGTCTGTGTCTAAGAAATTTTGCCTAATTACAGATGTGAAGAAGAGGTGCTGGGAAAATTTACATTTTGTGAGTGGAAGAATCTGTATTTTGTTGGGATGTCAGACTCAATGTACAGGCTGGCTGGCTGGCGGGCTTCCCGGGGACTGAAGTCTCTGCTAAATAAAACAGATTGAAAGCTTAAAATATACTTTCCAGTTTGGGATTCACTTGCCCTGAATTTTACTTTGTGCTTACTGCTCTAACTCCTCAAATCAAAGGAAAAGATGGCTGCATCACCCCACTTCTTCTTGCTTCAGGTAGAAATCCCCCACTACCGGGAAGTGCATGTGGCTATTTGCTAGAGCTGACTTCAAGGCACCATATTTAACTCTTCATTTTGCAATATGTCAGACTGTTCACTGCAGCTGGGAATTTGGTACTGACATGTTAAAGCAAGGGGTTCTCTTTGATGTTCTCTGATCCCACTTTAAACTCCCCCCTTCCCCTCCTCCCCTGTGCAAACAGCCCTGGAAGGGGTTTGGGCTCTGGCATAAGGAACTCGCAGGCTCCCTGGTGTGCTCCGGTCTCCTTGCACGTCTGTGTTTGGCAATCCCATTGCTGCGCTCTGCTGGTGCAAAATAAAACCCGCACACTTTCCTCGCCAAAGCCAGCTCCCCGCCAGCATCTCCAGCCCCAGAGACTTCTCTTACTCTTGTAGGCAGCTGAGCTGATCACCATTGAAAGGAAAATGCAGACTGACTAGAAATTTTAGGAAGGAGTTAAGCAAAAAGCTGCATTGATATATCTTCCAAATTTGCAAATCAGTCCATACACAGAGCGGTACTTCCTTCTTATTTTAATGCGGTCTCAGGTTTAATATAAATACCTGGCCGTTCATCTTTCCCCTTGCAAGCCCAGAGGACTGCCAGCGTACTTCCCTACCCAAGGCTAAGCCTGCATTAGTCTTGGGAGTGCAGAGAAACTGCTCTTGCAACCTGTACTATCTGTTTGGTCACCTCGTAGGCAAAGTCCTCAGAAGAAATGGGCCACTGGCTGGGCCTCCTCTTGTCGGAGTCAGGTTCGAAAACAGACCCGGAGGAATTTACCTATGATTACGTGGATGCTGACCGGGTTTCCTGCATTGTGAGCGCCGCAAAGAACTCCTTCTTGTACGTCAGCGGTAATGCATGGGGCCGCAGGGACTGGTGGAGGGGAAGCAAGCTAGAGCGGGGGTCCCTCCGCTTGCGGGAGGTTGGCTGCCATGGGAATAGGTGGTAAATTCACGGCTACAGCTCAGTTGCTTTCTTTGGAAGCTCAGTGCGGGACAGAAGGGCACTTGTCATTGTCCCACCATGACGCATCTAACCTGAGCTGCAGCTTGCCATGGGGCTAGGGGCACGTGCCCAGGTGGCTTTTGCAAAGGCAGGTTGGTGGGGTGGGCTTGGCTGGGGGGTGCAGGGCTGTGGGCACCCAGCCACGTGGTTCACCGTGCCACTGGGGCAGGGCGGTTGTGCTGCTGCCGTGCTGTGCCCGAGGGCTGGGCAAGAAAGGAAAGAGCTGAAGGAAATGTAGCCCTACTCTGGTGGGTGCTGCTCAGTGGGGAGTGGGAACAGTGATCACATTGCTGCACAGCTCTACCTTCTCATCTCCTGTGTCTGGCTGCGTGGCCCTGCCCAGACCCCAGGACTGCTGTGTTCAGATGCGCCAAAGTGCAGCACAGCGCGGCCGCGCAGCAAGACCGATCCCTCCTGATGGGATGTCCCGCTGCCTATTCACAGCTTAATGCAGAGGAAGTACTCTGAGCCCAACGCCTATATCGACAACCTGCCAAAGGGCAGGATGCAGCAGGAGGAGCTGTACGACGATGTGGATCTGCCAGACCTGTCTGCGGTAAGATGCCCGGTGCTGCAGGCAGCCACTCTGCTGCAGCAAGCTCTGGGGAGACCATGGGCAAACATCTGGCCAGGGGAAGTCTCCAGCAGTGAAGGGGGAGGGTTTTCAGACTGTGGCAAAGGGGATTCCCAGCCCCTGGGGAAATCCAGGCTTTTGCAATGGGGCAGAAGTGGGTGCTGGAGAGGAGTTGCTAAGGAATGGGAGAGAGGATTCCAGCAAGGTGCTGTAGGGATCCTCGGGCAGATGGGATAAAATCCCACAATTTCCATCAGCAAACAGCATGGATTATTTGGTGATAGATGGTGGATTGTTTGGAGCTTTGTCCATCAAAATTCCTTTTGATGCCTGTGAGATCGAGTCCTGTGTGTAAGGATAAGAAAGATGGGCCATGCTGGGAATGGGACTGTATCCTGGGAAAGGCAAATAATCTGGCAGGGGTCGCTAGATGTACAACAGTGTGAGATCCTTGCATGGGGCTGCTGCTATCATTGGAAAGACCTATTGAAGGAGAGCAGGAGGGGCCTTTCCTTCAGTACACCAAAAAGCCCTGCGTGGAATGACTTAAAGAATGGGGTTTTAGTTCCTCTAAGGTTTATGGAAAATACTCCGGATTGCCTGAGATGATGCTGCTCTGCAGTGAGATGTTTCCTGTACTTCTGGCTGCAGCAGATGGTCCCTTTTCAGGGCAACATTCTCCTTTTGCAGGAAGAAGTACCCAAAAGTGAGAGCAAATTGGAGGGAGACCAAGACAGAGTGTACCTGGACCTCACCCCAGTGAAGTCTTTCCTACACTGTGCTGGCAAGAAGTCATGCCAGCCTTCACCCCTCAGCTCACCGTCTTTAGAAAGGGCTGCCAACAAGGCTGCAGCAGAGAGCACAACCGAGACAGCCCTTGTGACTGAGGAAGCCGAGCCCTGTAGTAAGGCAATGGAGACCTTGGAGCAGGTACTGTCCTGAACTGTGGTGTGGGGACAGGCTTAATCAGTGAGCCCCCCCCCCCCCCCCCCATCATCCCACTTCATTTCCCCCCCAGAAACACCCAGAGAAGCCGGAGCCCGACGAGGCGCCACCACAGATGCCCGCCATCAAAATCCAGACACAGCAGCAGAACATCGCCTTCCCCCAGCTGGCCCCCGAGCT